AGGCGGTTATGTCTCCCCAGCTCTAGATAAAAGGGAAAATTTGCTTAGAAACGTGCAGGTCAGCATACATAAATGTATCTCCAATGGATATCTTGATGGCCACGACGCTATAAGCAAGCAATTTACATCACGCTATGTAGTTTTGAGAGTTCTGTTTCCATTCTTAAATCCCCGTCCACAAACTCCCGATATAAAGACTGTTTGCTGCTCTGTATAATGAGGCGAATATCAGCTATTTGTATAAGACTGACAATGTAGTGTAAAGTGCGTAAGCTAAGGGTATTACCTACTACATATGGAATGGCCGCGCCATAGATCAAGCGGTTAGTCGCTGGTTTTCCACCGCGGCCCGGGTTCGGTCACGGGTCTGGTCAAGTTGGATTTGTGGTAGACAGCGTGGCACTGGGACATTATTTCTCCTAGTACTTCGGTTTTCCCTGCCAATCTTCATTCCACAATCCCCCTCACCTAACATCTGGGACTGGTATAGTAGGCCAGAAGGGGCCGCAGTACAAGGGACGTAGTCCCACCCCACTAACAATAAAGAAAACCTAAATTCTAAGTTATCTTGTTCAGTAAAATTCTTTGAGAGTTTCAGGTACAGATATTGCCTCCAACCTCAAGGCAAAAGGTAACTCGAGCAAGAACTAGCAATGTATTGAGACCATGCAAAAGCCCTTCACAGTACAAAACGCTTGTTATCCTAAATTACGAGTGATTATAAGGCTTCTATATTTGAACCCCGCTTGAAATAAAATAATACTGCATATGGAAGATCAATTTAATTAGATCTTTCCTTACGTGTTCTCCTCCTATTTACAAATTTTAAATATTTTCAGACACCATTCCATTTATATCAAGCTGATGATTTTTACATATTTGTGTTTAATTCCCCTGAAAGTATATAAGTTTTCTGTTTTCTCAATTTTTACTACATTTCTATTAACAACATTATTTCCCCTATAATTGCACTTGTTTATTAATTTTTTTTTGTTTGAGTGATGTGAATTGCGAATGTTTTGCTGTTATTGCAATGTGATTTGCGTCTGCGGATCTACATTACGAGAGTGGGAATTCAGAATATAGTGGAAAAATCTGAACAATATTCAGATATGAGTTACTGCTGCATATATTAAATTTTCTGTATTCCTGTATGCTACTGTAGGTTTGTTCGAATAACGCAATTACTTTCTTTGTAAGACTCATTCATTGATATCTGATAATTTATTCCGCTCAACTGATCGCGTTATGTATGATTGCTTTTTACCTTCGGACTGTAACTTCGGATAAGATTTAATGGATTTAATGTATGACTAGGAGAATAAGGAGTAGTAATTTCAGGAAATGATCAGAATTATAAAATCCCCGGTACAGTCGGTAATTTGGTTAGCTGGGACACTGCGCTGCAAATATAAAGGTAGTAAGGTTCATTCCCCAAATCAATTTTTTTTTATTGACCTAGTCCTTCTAGCCGCACTATGATCGTGATATCGACTCAGTCTGTAATAGAAATGAGAATCGTGTGTCAGCCTTTGGATAAAGGGCGTTCGGCACAAAAGGCTGACAACTTCACTTCCCTCTGTAACACGACTGTGTAAAAAATGTGGGAGACTGGACATCTAACGAAACTATTGACATCCACGCCCTGTCATCAGGTTAGATTTCTTAATAAATCCTCAGTTCCTTTAGACTCATGACATATAGAACTTGATAATACATAGCAGTAGTAAATCATTGTCTTCATGTGCATTGATATGTAAAGAGAATATTGCTCAGACCAGACGAAAATTTACTTGAAAAATCACTGCGTAGTCAGAAAGATATACCTTACCGCGACAGCGGAGAAGGAAGAAAAGCAGAGTGTAGCAAGCAGCATCAGGAACAGACCACAAAACGGGACGTTCATTGTGTCTTCCATAGCTCGCATGTACCTGAAATTGTAAAAGACAATTCACAAGATTGTCCCTATCTGTGAGGAATGTGGTGTCGGACTGTGTAACAGCCGGCTAAGGGGTGACACGCAGCAGCGTAGTTGGTACCGGCACTATGCTACAAGCCTGAAGGTCGCGGGTTCAAGTCCCGATGGGGTCATTGGATTTTTTTCTCAATTGACCTTATCCTCCAAGCCGCACTATGACTCTGGGGTCGAGTCAGCCTCCAACGAAATGAGTACCAGGAATATTCTTCGAATATTCTTGGGCGTAAAGACTGCCGGTGCGTAGGGCTGACAACCTTTTCGCCATCTCTGAGCCGATTGTCTAAAAAATGTGAGAACCTCAACATCTCCGAACCCTATTGGCCTCCACGGCCTATTACAGGCATCGTTTTACATTTTTACTTTAAGGGTTGGACGGCCTGTGTTGGATTCCCAGCGGTGCAATAGTTTTCTCATTTCCGCGGAATCCAGACATCTCTGGTGCCCAACCAGCCATCTGTTAGCCTGGAGTCCTTCTCCGGGGGTAAAGCGGCAGGGGCGTGTAGGTGACCACTCAACACTATCTAGTGCCGAGGTCAAGAAAAGCATAGCTGTTGTGCCCTGGATATTAAGGGATATGATTTTGTTTAAGGAAGGGGCTCTGCTATACGCAATTTATTAAAAATTGTTTATAAGTTTTATAAGTCTGGATACGTTAGGTTAACCACAGGTTGGTCAGCCGGGAACCATAGTTGGGATCACTTTTAGACGTAATACATTCCTCAGTCAGTGGGCTTCAGTTGTGCAGTTGACAGAAAATATCGATAAATCGTGTGAATGACACAGAGACAAGTCCCGTTTTCGCACCATAGGTGACTGACCAGTATGAATTTTAGGATTTTGTGTGAACAGAATTTTCATGAGTTACAAGAATGTTGAATAATCTTTATGGCTCTGACAGGGGCAGCCCTGAGGACTCTGACTCTCGCAGTGGCTCGGAGCACTCGACTCTAGAAGTCATGTGATAGGAAGGAGACTCGACGGCCACAGATATCTTCATTGACACCCTCTTCTTTAATGGTGAGTAATTTCCTGTGCCCCTCCACCTTATCGTGGTGAGGGGGTTTGAGTATGCCAAGGAACCTGAGAGCTATACCAGCGGTAGCGTAGCAACTGGCAAGGCCTCCCTTGCTGGACAGGTCAAAGGGTAGGCATGAGACGAAGAGAGATACCAAAAACCAAAAACTGATGCCGGAAGAAGCGTCATCAGCAGCGACTTGAAGCACAGAGCAAATGATGCTCGAGATGATTCAAGTTCGTATAGCAACAGGCGTGACCAGAGTGGTTTGAACGGCTGTTGTACTGTGATGTGGAAAGCAAATCGAAAATCTACCACATTAGCACTTTTCCTGGATAGTCTCTTTCCAAAAACAGAGATACTATGTATGCGACCGGAAGATGAAGAAAAAGACGTAAGAAAATGCTAGATTTCCTTGGGGACAGAAGAGGATAGTTTTATTAGAAGGAAGAAGCTCGAGATCTCATTAGTTAATTAGTTAGTTATTGGAGAGGGTGGGTTTCCTCGTGCACTTAGACCAGTATTGGTCCATTGTGCTTCCCTCTATGATATTCTACCAGTCTTTATACCCTACCGATAATGGTGCATATCATCAGTCCCACCGAGCAAGCGAGTTCGGCCTCACTTGTTTAGTGGTGTCTATAATGCTTCCCCCATCTATCAGAGGCCTTAGAGACTATTGTTGGTAGGGAAACATCCTGGAATTTGGCTCAGTGATCTCCTTGGAGATATGAGGTTCTTTTACGTGCCGTAAAGTTACAACACGGGACACACGGCTTAAAGTCCCTCCCGAAGGACTTGTTCCCTGAATTTTTCGGCCCTTAAAAATTCGACGACCTCCGCCGGGTATTTGAACCCGCGTACCACGAGTCATGAGGTGGGAACGTTACCTCTAGACTACGGAGGCCGCTGAGATCTCATTAAGTGGAGGAACTGTTTTGGAAGAGACTGTGGACCTGTCGTATGACAGATTACTGAAGTGGAAATTTGCCTCTTATCGGATCACTGATGACTTTTAATATGTAATTTCAGGTTCATTGATTAGGATATGAATTTTGGTTTGTTAATGAATTAGTAGGATAAAGTTGGTTACAGGGCCATAGTGTATAAAGTTTGGTTATACGATTGTTAAAGAGTAATTTTTTATTCTTTGAGTGATTATCAGAATATACATTTTTTATGTATTGAGTAATGGTTAAGATACTAGAATCTGGTTTACTAATTAATTTTTTTTCCTTGGCACTACAGCCCCAGTGGGCCTAGGCCTACCTCCATGACCTTCTCCGTTCACTTCGGTGTTTCTAGATCTTACAGATTCGGTAGGATTCCTTGGGCGGGTGATCATCTCGTCGCAAGGACTCTACCTATACACAAACACAGAAAAACGCGCACACAAACTAAACGTCCATGCCCTGAGTGGGATTCGAACCCAAGATCTCGGTTTTCAAGCGAGCGAAGACAGTACATGCTTTAGACCGCTCGGTTACCGTGACCGGCAGTAATTAAATTTAGGATGAAAAATTTGTCTTGTTAATTATTAGTTGTAGGATATAAAATTTGTATTTGTGTTATGCAGGTTTGGTACATATTGGGTGGTCAATTTTAAGAAGTCAGTGTGAGCTGTGTAATGGCAGATTGTAGGTGTTGAAATAGTTGTATATACACGTATGTATTTGTTGATTTGATTATATTTGTGTTTGTCTTCACATATTGAGTGACAATATTCGGTATTCCTAATAAATATGTCAGTGGGCGGTGTAGGAGATATCCACAGATGTCCGATAGGGAGTTAGTATTGTTACTGACCCCCATCTGGACACAATAAAACTAGTTGGCAGAGGCAAGATATGATAACGATTTGGATGACGCATTTGGCTGCACAACAATAACCCTCCACTCCCGCATACGTCTTCATGGCGTAGTGTTTAACTAATTGAGCAGAGGGACAGCCTTACCTTTACCACTTCCTATAATGAACTCACGTGCACTGTGAAAGTAATGACGTACTGCAGTATGGCTTGATGGTGCCGAACGCACTCGTTCAGTTGTGTCTGCATGCGGCAGAACCCGTCCTTGGAGCGGGAAACTGGCTCTTCTCTCCCATCACTCCCAGACTCATCTCCTGATGGAACCATTTCCTGCTTTATGTCCAAGAGGTTCGTTCTGAGCTTCTGCAGCTGACTGCACGCGACCATAATCAGCGTAGCATATAAGAATTGGAAGCCGAAGAAAACACTCAAGCCGAAGATTGATGCAAATATCTACATGGGAAAATATAAGTTAGATAGGTGTATTTATACATATTTTCTTAAAAATATTAGTTTACGTTAGTTTTATGCTTCTCTATGTAATACGATTGATAGAAGAGTTAATTTAATCTATGTCTATCTACAATATATCATATAAACCGAAGTGTTTATAATTTTGAGGTAGGCATATGTTTGTATCAACTTTGAGGTGTGAGTTTGTTTCTCGCGTAATCAATGCAAAAACATGCTCTGAAGTTATGGGCAACAATTTTCTCGCAACTTCGATAACATTCTGCCCGACTGAACGGCGTCAGATTCCATCAGAGAAGTATATTCAAAACTTGGTCTATTTGCCGTATTCAGACAACACTGTATAATATCGTGATTATAATCAGGCTACAGCTATGTTGACTTTCAGGTCGTTCACATCCAATTGATTTGTACTTACGCTGAAGTTTCGTGAATATAACCCACTACTTATTATCACCCGCTGAACAGAAAGTATATGCATTTATGGTTATATTGCCTTATTGCGAACTGTATAACCGGTTTATATATTACCATGATTATTTGAAGAAACGAAGAAATTTGTCTTTACAACAACAAGTTTGAAGATCTCAAAACCACGCTCAGCATAATCTTGTAACCAGGTTTTTATCAAATTTTTTATTCTTGATTCCGAAGATCCGTAGACTGTCATATTATTGCGGTACAACAAGGTATTGCCGTGTTGTAAAATTCAGCCCAAAAATGTAAAAATTACTCTTTCTAATATAAATTTACCTGTACTTAATATGAGTGTGAAACTTGGTCTCTGACATTAACGAAGGAACATAAACTGAATGTGTTTGAGAGTAGGATGCTGAGTAGAATATATAGACCATGAGGAATGGAGTGTCAGGAGAGTTGAAGAAATTACACAATAATGATTTCATAACTTGTACTCTTCGCCAAGTATAATTAGTATGATCAAATCAAGAAGAATAAGATGATCATGGCTGTTAGCACGAATGTAGAAAATAAATGCATAGTGGTTAGGATATTATTTCGAATTCGTTAGGAGAGGTCTAATAGCAAGACCAAGACCTAAATGGATGGATAATATTAAAACTGATCTTATATGCGATGTGGTGGAATGACAAAAACTTTCGGGTTCCATAAAATGTTGCAACATACTTGAGTAGCTGTATAACTTGTGACAGTCCAAACCTTTTAAAACTCTTCAATGGACGCTATGTTCCTCTTTAGCCATTTCAATAGTGTGACTCATTTATTGGGGAGACCGTTGCATTAGCTGGTAATGACATGCTTTTCGCATTTGGAGAGGAACAACTGCCTTGTTTTGTTACCTGCTGCTCGGGTGACCGGAGAGGGACGCCGCCTTCGAAAGGCAAGTCTGTAGTTTGCCGAAGATGTAAATTTTGTTTTGCTAATAGGATAGCTGTTATAAAAGTGTCTTCGGAAGGGTGTAATTTGACCCTAAACTAAGAAATAACCGCTTTCACATGTAGGATTCCGGGTTTAATATCTTTGGATCTCTTTATTCTCAAAGTTAGTAATGTGATTGTCTAGTACTGATGGTATGATTAATTGGCAGTTAAAATCAGCCATTAGGAAACCATTTTTGTCTGGGAGAAAGGCCGTCGGTTCAAATCCCATACAGTGGATGAAGTGACACTCCCGCAGGATAGAGTGGGCAGAAGACTTGGCATTTTGAATTCATCAGAGGCAGACGTCATTGGGCTGCACTCTCCAAGTATATCTAAATTTAACAGACTTTATTTGGTTCGATTAATCTTTGATAATAATAATAAAAAGGGCACATTACTCCGTACTTGCCAATAAAGTTATAGTGTTTGCTTCTGAAATGAACAATTTGTGATTAAGCAGAAAATAGTGCCTTTTATTTCTATCAGTGGACTAGCTTTAAATGTGCAGTCTCTGCGTTGCCTCAGTTATTACCGTGACACGATCCTGAGAAGCGTCAAGTGTTCTACCGAAGCGGGCAAATAACTAAATAAATATAAAGATAGATAGTGGACGGTCACGAGAAGTGGCGCCCAACGGTTACAGGAAGTGGTAGCCAACGTGAGCGGTTACAAACTGGCGGTTGGATTAGTTGGATCTGAACTGGCAGCTGGGTAACTGCGTTTCGGAGGGATATAGAACTTAAACTTCAGGATTGATGTAATGTTTCACATAATACATAATTAGATTTACATAAATAAGCGTGTTTAATTATTACGTAATTAATACGTTATTGCAGCGAGAGACATAGTTCTCATAGACAAAGAACACATGCACGCTTAGAAAACAAAATAACTTTTTAGCTATACCCTCTGCCTTGGGGGGTTCGTGGGTTCGATTCCCGACTTTCAATTGACCCAATACTCCTCTTCACAAAATGGTACTGCGGGCCTCAAACAGAAATGATTACCTGGAATTTTACTGGGAGTAAAGGGCGGCCGGCCTGTAAAGCTAAGGTCATCGCTATCTGTGAGCTAGAAAATGTAGAAGCCTCGACGTCTCGGAACCGTATGTGTTTCTACAGTCTGTTACACGAATAGCGCTATTGTTTTACTAATATCCTGCGCCTTGAACCTTCCCCTTTCTGCTGAGATGCAGCAACCAGTTACACCAGAACTCAGAGTCACCCTCACATATCCCTACAGTTCACTTGAGTCTTCCGAACTGAACAGCACAAGATGGCAGAAAGCGAAAGTAATAATTTGGACACAGCACATGTGATGTCATTTCCGAGGCAGTTATTCGTCGGTTTCCCACAATGGGTGCAGTGCTCCGACAATTGATTAGGATATATTTGATTTGTGATTGGGTAAGATGCGCTGTTTCCTTGCTATTTCACATTGCACTGACGGATTGAAATTCATCTGTGAACCAGAGGTGGCACAGAGGACCCATAAGAGCACTGCATACCAAGTGGAGTCAGTGTGACCCCTCCACCCGTATAGAGAAGAGGATAGGGAACCCGATATGTCTTCTACTTTATCATGTTCTTTCCCTTGCAATGTTTATGTAGTTTGGAATCACTTAGATAACATTCACTGAACAGTCGTCAGTAAACTCCAGATTTTTTATATTTGTGATGAACAAATGTTAGATAACGAATCAGTGAGAACGCTAATCAATGTGTGACTAACTTATTCCAGATCCAAATGTTCCGTAACGCACAAAAATGGTTATTCATGTTAATTAAACTTGAAATGAACAGACATTACGTAAATTAAATGTAAATAGAGAAAATGGATCGCCTTCTTCAAGCAAATTTTGTTGCCTTTTCAGGAGTAATTAAATTTGGCCCACACTATACGACAATGTCCACTAATAATGGAACTGCTTAACACATATACTGAATATTGTCATTGTCCATTTATTTTCCATATATATCCCTACAAGTTAAAAAACCAGGATGTGGAAATTGTCCTTTGAATACAGATATCAATATGCATATACAAAATCAACATCATATACATCAATCAATAAACATAAATAATAATATAAGGTAAAAGAATCTAATAAAAATAAACATACATTAAGAATAACTAACTCACGTTATTAATCCCACTTGGCTTTAACAAGCCGAGGGATAAAAAAACAAGTCAAATACATATACATACATGTGTGTTACAAGATACAAAACAAAACAAGCAAGACAGAATTATGCCACATGCAATAATACCATAATTAAAATACAAAATTTATAATAGACTGACATAATATCAATCATAACTTTTAAAATACCACAAATTTAGGTAACAATCAACAAACCACAGACATATATGTACTCATCCACATAAATTACTACAAGGAAATGCTATCCTTCGATCTGCAACATTCAAAATATTCATCCAAAGTATAAAATGAATGAGAAATCAAGAAATCCTTCAAAGCAATTTTAAAATCTTTACAATTAGTGAACAACTGCTTTAGATATAAGGGTAAGCTATTAAACAATCTGATACCCATACAGTATGATCCCTTCAGGTATAGTGATAGATGAACTATAGGTTGATAAAAATTAAGATTAAAACAATGTCTTGTATTTCTACTATGTATATCAGTTGTAAACTGATATAAATTTATATTATCAACCACAAAGCATAATAAAGAGTAAATATACTGAGACTGAAGAGGAAGAATTTTTAATGCCACGAATAGCTGCCTACAAGGATTCCTGTAACCAGTACCTGTGATTATTCTAAGTACTCTTTTCTGTACACGAAAAACACTTATAGCATATGATGAATTACCCCAAAATACAATACCAAATTTCATGAGTGAATGAAAATAAGCATAGTACACCGTTACTAATGTTGCCTGATTAACATATGGCTTCAAGGCTCTAATAGTAAAGCAAGCAGTGTTGAGTTTGGAAAGTAGTTGGTCAATATGTCTCTTCCATGACAGAGTATTTACAATATTAATACCCAAAAATTTAGTAGATCTTGTACTCAAAATATTCTTATTTCCATTATTAATACTGATGGAATTGCACTGCTCCTCTATGTTTTTGGCTATAAATTTAATAAAATGCATTTTCGAGAGATTTAAGGATAATAGGTTTGCATTGAACCATGTAATTAAAATATTGGAGACTTCCTTAAGTCTGAATAAGTAATATACTTCTAAATGTATATTGATTTTCAAGAAGTTGCCGTGTCTTGAGTTAGTTGTAGCTACTGGGATTAACTTTAATTTTAATTTATTGTATAACTTACTTTATCGTGATCAATGATGACTTGATTCTTAAAGAAATTAACTTTTGTCTCTCCTCAGTTCAATGCCTTACATGAGTAGCTGATTACAATTACATTGAAAGCAGTAAAAGTACAAATTACCTGCATGATGATTACGAGTTCGTATCCCGGACTGCTGACACTATCAAAAGGGTACCACGTTCTGAACACCAATTCATGGGATATATATATCCGTAATCCTGATTGTACCAGATGAAATGAAGTTACGAATGCAAAGGAATACGTCACAACTTTCTGAAGGTGAGGTATCCACCCCGCGAATGTACGGTGTCCGGTGTGAGGATCTCTGGTCGGCTGGTCTTCCCAAGTTAAGCATTTCGTGAGACGAAGCAGACGCTCAAAATCACGTAAACGCCATCTGGAATACACGCCGAAACAAAAATGTTAAATAATATAGACTTTTCCGTGGTTAAATGATCTAGTCACGTAGGTCATCGTCGTTTCAGAAGAAAATGTCACGTCCTTCTTCAGACTAAAGTGAAATATCTATATATTTTTAGTATACTACACCCTCTCACATCTGAGTATACATTAGTCACCGCTGAGGGAGCCTTAAAATTAACAAAACTCTGAAGATCGCTTTGTCTTTTGACACCTCCAGTAAGATATAGAAACCGTGTAACATATTCTTTCATCCTTGTGTTATGTTTAGTGAAATTATTCTTTGTTATATCACTTTCCCTTCGATATAACATTATCGACATCTTGTTAAGTCGAAGTGTTAGGTTAAGCCGTATATCTCTACTTTCACAAAAGTATCACTTGCACATTCATTTAGATCACCATATTCGGACCTACAGCCTTGTATTAGGATTGTATTTTGAGATTAGTGTTTCACGTAGCCACTGAAACACATTCTGATACCTGGATTTACGTAGCTCATAACACGACAAGAAGACATGATAATTTATTCACCTTAAATTTATATGCATCCAACATACGATTGTATACGCATTCAGTATTCGGAAATTCGTCATAAAAGCCTTCAAGTCATCGATGTTTGTGATGATATCCACATACATTCCGATGTACATAGCGTAACCATTGATTATCATCAAGGTGTTATAGGTGGAACGAAGTATGGACGCATTCTTTACGTTGAAGGGGACACCTGCCATTCTCAGGAAAGTTAAAATGGTACGAAAGCGATTCTCTGTCACATCACACGACTGCGGTTCCTTCGTATTCATTATCAAATTCTTTTCTTACAGGCACAAATACGTACGGATACCAAAGCAAATGTTGTAACTGATATGAAGATTTCCACTTTAGCTACAATGCACACACGGACGTCTGCCTCTCAGGGGCTACTCGGTTCAACTGAAGTGCGCAGCGTTTCCTTCAGCATTGGCGTGCAGGTCTTCCTGAAGCAGCGGCCGTTGTTTGCTACGCAGCGTTTATGTGCGCAGATCCCTTCTGGTTTTTGATTCCTTCTGCGTTTGTGCGAGTGTAGAATGTAGCGACTGTTTAAGGAACTGAGCGACTTTGGCTTGAAAACTTTTATGAAAGATGGTTCGAAATTGTATAATTAAAAAGAACAGGGACGATTTCATGCTATGAATTTACAACATTAACAGAGTTCCATCTCTATCTTTGTGTCAAGAAATTTTATACCAACATTTTATGGGGGTTACAGCGTATAAAATAAAATGTGCAAAAAGTACCTGTCGAGGTGTGCGCAGAAGCGAATGCCTGTATTGTACGGACGATGTGCGTGTGGTGTGTCTGCAGCAAATCTTGCCTTTGGTTCCCATTCATTTCAACACAGCGTTCATGTCCATGTTGCACAGAAGTGCGCAATCTTTCGAAATTTCCTGCTTTCATTCCAATCTACATGGATACATTGTTTATGTAATATAAAACCACTCAAATGAGTTAGGGGACATTGTTTAATCGCCAGTTAACTCCTAATTTTGTGATATTGCTGATGAAAATATATTAGATAACGAATCAGTCAAATTGGTTATCAACTTAAACTACGGCCAAATATCCTATCAAAGACAATAGTCATTATTTATTATAATGGGAGTTATAAACCATAAAAAATGACGTAAATTGATTATAAATAGAGTAAGGGGATCTTTTCTTCAGAAATATGTGTCCATTCGAAAATGTAGTTAGTTTCTGTTACAGGACTGAATTGTGATTTGGCCCAGACTGTACGACAGTGCCCACGAATACTGGAAGTGTGTAAAACTTTCTCTGAAAAAAAAATTACTTTTAAATATTCATTGATTTTCAAGAAGTTACTGGGTCATGAGGTTGTTTGGATCACCTGGGTTTGACTTTTATTGTAAGTAAATCTTACTTTACTGTGACCACTGATAATATGATGGTTAATGAAACTAACTTTTGTTTCTCCTCAATTCCATGGCTTTCATGCGTAACTGATTACAATAAAATTACAAGCAGGAAAAGTACAAAATTACCTACATGAGATGTGTGAGTTCGTATCCCGGACTGCTGACAATATCAAAAGGTTGCCACGTTCTGAACACCAATTCATGGGATATACACGTATATATCCGTACTCCTGATTGTACCAGATGATAGGAAGCTACGAATGCAAAGGAATACTTCATAACTTTCTGAAGTTGAGGTATCCACCCCGCTAGTGTACGGTGCCCGGTGTCAGGATCGTTGGCCGGCTGATCTTCCGATGTGAAGGATTCCGTGAGACGAAGCAAACGCTCAACTTCGCGTAAACGCCAGCTGGAACACACGTTGAAAAAAGAATTGTAAATAATATCGACTTTTCCGTGGTTACATGGTATAGTCTCGTAGATCGGACACTTTTCTGAACAAAGTGTTATATTCTTCTTCAGAGTCATATGAAATATCGGTAAATTTCTAGCAGACTACACGTTCTCACATCTCAGAATACAGTAGTTACCGCTGAGAGAACCTCAAATCTCAAAAAAACTTTAAATATCGTGTTGTGTTTTGAAACTTCGCGTAGGATTTAAAGAATGTATATTTCTCTACTTTCACGAGTGTAACACATGCACATTCAATTACATCACCATATTCTGTCCTTGAATCTCGTATTGGGATTGGTTATTTTGTATGATGTTTTCTCGTAGCCACTGAAACACTTTCTGATACCAGGATGTAAGTTGTGTATGGTACCACAAAAAGATATTATATTTCATTTACCTTAAATTAAGGTGCAACCAATTCAGTACAAGGAAAGTCTTCATAAAATTCTTCAAGTCATCGTTGTGTTCGCTGATATCCACATACATTCCGATGTACAGCGCGTAAACATTGATTGCCGTGAAGACATTGTAGATTGAGTTTAGTATGGATGCTTTCTTCATGTTGATTTTGACGCCTGCCATTCGCAGGAACGTTAAAATAACACGAAAGTGATTTTCCGTCACATCACACGCCTGCGGTTTCTTTGTGTTCATTATAAAATTATTTTCTTAGAGGTGCAAATACGAACAAATATCAAAGAGATGTTGTTGCAAGTGACACCAACAGTTCAACTTTAGCGGCAATGCACACACGTACGTCTGCCTCTCAGGGGCTACCCGGTTAGACTGAAGTGCCCAGGGGTTCCTTAGCACTGGCGTGCAAGTCTGCCTGAGGCAGCGGCCGTTCTTAGCTACGCAGCGTTTATGATGTGCGCAGTTTCTTTGTGACGTTTGATTCCTTCTGCGTTTGCGTGAGTTACGGAGGCGGTGACTTTGATCAGGAACTCAACGACATTGGCTAGGAAAGTTTTATGAAAAATTAATTAATTAACAGAAGATGTAAGTTGTCATGCCATGAATTTAGAAAATTAACCGAGTGCACAATCACAACACATCTACACTCCTATAATGTTGATGCAAACACGCGCACACACGAACTGTCCAAATTTTTCCATTCGTATTTTCATTTTCCGTTGATCTTCCGTTTTATATTCTGGGATTTTCATTCATACGAATTACCTTAGTTCCACAATTTCCTATGATACTACATTATGTTTCGCAGTCAGTTTGTAGGAACGTACATACTTTAGCCATGATTTTGTCTTTTATGTCCACTTTCGGGGGGGGGGGGCTTTCTTTTATTCTCATTAAGGGTTCACGGGACGGGGCTCCTTCGAGGCCCATATACACCGCGGTTGCAAACGGTTTTCCTGTACTCGAAACAAAAGGAATTAAACTGAGTTACTTTTTTAATTACCACACTGACTATGCAGAATTTAAAACATTGAAGCAATAGCGTGAAGACTGTTATAAACTTCTTCACTGATATCGCCATGTGTATGCACAGGGATGTTTGGAGTCTTCTGTGATATTTGTTTAATTAATATTGAAATGTCCATGAGTTCTTTTTGAATAATAAGTTTTATAAGTATCGTAGATTCTAGAGCTTCCTGACGATGGTGTATAGAACTTAGAAATATAGAAAATTTGTTCTTTGTCCACCATCCGGTATTGTAAAAACTGGATCTGTTCACGTCCTCAGTCCATGGGGGACGCTCTGGTTGTTCCCACCGAAAAAACTGACCTCAATCACTGGACAACTCATGTCAGTACAACCACAGCCACCAAAATACTTGAGTCCAGGCTACACCGAGGGGAGATAACGGGAACATATACAATAGGAAGTGTGAGAACTCAAATCCAGAACTAAAACTAAGTTATAGGGCACTGCGGTGTTTATATCTGCCATGTCCCATTGAATTGACGGATCCATATTCATCTGTCAACCAGAGGTGTTACATTGGACACATAAGTGAACTGCATACCAAGTAGAGCCAGTGTGACCCTTCCACGCGTATACCGAAGAGGAAAGGGAAACCGATATGTCGCCTATTTTAACATGTTCTTTCCCATGTAATGTTTATGTAGTACAGAATCACTTAGATAAGATAACGCGGAGTGTTTAGTCGTTAGTAAACTCAAAATATTGTAATATTGCTAATAAAGAAGTGTTAGATAACAAATCGCTGAGATGTTTTACTAACTTAAACCACATGCAAATATTCCGTACGAAAATCATTATTTTTTTTAACTGAATTTACAAATACACAAACATGACGTAAATTGATTATAATACAGAAAAGGGAGTGATATTTTCAAAAATATATTTGTCGATTCGATATTATATCCTAGTTTTTGTTTCAGGACTAAATTGTAGATTGACCCACATTGTACGACCATGTACACCGACACAAAATGTGTAAATCTTTCACTGAATAACTAATGAACTTTTAAATGTCTGTTGATTATTAGAAAGTTGAAGTGACTTAAGTTTCGTTTTGAGCGTCTAAGTAAAATACTTTACTGTGACCAAAGATAATTTAAATGTTAACGAATCTAAGTTTTGTCTCTGTTCAGTTCCATGGCTTCCATGCGTAGGTGATAAAATAAAATTACGAGCAGTAAAAATACGGAAAGAGCTGCATGAGAATCGCGAGTTCATATCCCGGACTCTTGTCTGTATCAAAAGGTTACTGCGCTGGGTACACCAATTCATGGGATATGTACATCCGTAAACCTGAGTGTACTAGGCGAAAGGAAGGTGTGAATGCGTAGACATATTTCATAACTTTCTGAAGGTGCGGTATCCACCCCGCTAGTGTACGGTGTCCGGTGCGAGGATCTCTGTTCGGCTGATCTTCCCATGTGAAGGATTCCGTTTGACAAACAGAGGCTAAAAATCGCGTAAACGTCAGGCGGAACAGACCCCTGAAACATAAATGTTACAAAAACTTCGACTTTTATGTTATTACATTATCTAGTCTCGTATGTCACCGACGTTTGGATACATTACATAGTCTTGGTCACCGACGTTTCGGAAGAAAGATTTGCCCTATCTTCAGAGTGATGTGATATATCGATAAGCTTTTGGTAGAAACACGTTCTCACATTTCAGAATACAGTAGTCACCGCCTCTCGTAGAAGACGTCTAATATAATCTTTCATTCTTCTGGTAGATATAGAGAAATTATTCTTCCATATGCAACTGTCTGTTTGATATAACATTATCGAAATCATGCAAGTCGTAGTGTTATGTTATGCCCCATTTCGCTACTTTCGCCAGTGTGTCACTTACACATTCACTTATATCACCATCATATTCTGACTTTCAGTGTCTTATTAGTATTGGTTTTTGTGTATAAGTTTTTTTTTTCACCTAGCCACTGAAACACTTTCTACTACCAGGATGTAAGTAGCGCATAGCACAAGAAGAGTATGTTGTATTTGATTTACCTTAAATTAAGATGCAACCAAAGCAATAGTGAATTTGCATTCAGGATTTGGAAAGTCTTCGTGAAATTCTTCAGGTCGTCGTTGTGTATGCTGATACCCATATAAATGCCAGGCACAGCGCGTAAACATTGATTGCCATCAAGACGCTGTAGATGCAAAGAAGTATATGTATGTTTCATGTTGATTGGGATGCCTGCCATTCTCAGGAACATTAGAATGATACGAAAGCGATTCTCCGTCACATCGCACGGCAGGGGCTCCTTCGTTTTCATCACAAAATTCCTTACTTACAGGCACAAATACGTAAGAATGTGAAACGAGAGAAATTTGATGTACGAATACTTGAAACTAAGCGCCAATGCATCCACGGACGTCTGCCACTCAGTATTTACGGCGTTAAACTGACGAGATCAGGGATCTCTTCAGTATTTCTATACAGGCCTGCCTGGACTACGGCCCACTGTTTACCGTGCAATATTTATGAGGCACGAAGTTCAATGACGTCTTCATTTTCTTCTGCGTTTGCGTGACTGAAGAGGGTGGTGGTTGGTTTGTTCTGGAACCCAATGGCCTTCACCTGAAAATTTTTATCTAATATTTTGGAAAAATTGTTTAATTAACGATACAGAGACGTTTTAGTTCACGGATTCACAGAATTAACCGAGTTTCTCAGTCCTATAAAAATTATGTATATTTTATGAATATATACTTTTTGTGTAATTATCCTTAAGAAATCAACTACTTGACCTTATCATTGTATAAGTGTTACTTCATACTGCGAGAAGGACGGAGACTATCTCATTGCAGTGTTTGCATCCTCACAACACAATATTTATATTCCGCGTTCACAACTACTCTAATATACTGATATTCTCAGTAGAAGCCGTTTCTTTGTAATTGTTCTTTTTTTCTTTCAGTTTCGAGTATATTTATAGATTTCCCTGTTTCATATTGACAGAATTGTCCCGTCTTCCCCCTTCCACCATTCGCTGGTAGGATATAGAATGTTGCAGTTTTTCAACCCCTTCCAGCCAATCTCTGTTGATAAGACCAAGTACTAATGGTATTTACTTAAAGACGTAGTTTATTTTAGGCTTTAGAAGGAGTTCATCAAGTCACTAAAAGCCGAGTAAAAGCTGGCTACACCTAACTTGGCTAAACTCCCGTGGCCTTTCTCGCTGCGACCGTTTCAGAAGCCAGGCAGTTTCGGAATCCCACTTGCAGTCTTGTACGGATGTGTTCCTTTCCTTTTAATTTACTTTTAAACATCAGATTTCCTTTTGTACTTTGTTTCATTTCGTGAATCCTTTGAAGTACCAGTAGCATACTGTTACATGACGTTCGAACGCCGGAAGTTTGCAGTGATAAAATCAGAACAGTGACGTATGTTGCTAGTCAACGGTTACCTGAAATACGATTCAGCGAAAAAGCCTGTATATATAAAGACGTTTCGTGGAAACCGCGAATAACACAGGAATGAACTGTGTGACTGGATGTTCTATATTCGGTTCACAATAAGTTTTTCAGTTCCAAATTCAAAGAACCAAATAGCAAATTTTAGAGGCTGTGGGTCATTTCAAGATCCAGGCAACAACAAGAGATTCGTTTTCAAGAAGGGGTTTGATTTGTGCGATGTTATACTCGAGTGTAATTGTAATAGAGACGTCCAATAGATCCAGTCATCAAATGAGATACCCACAGTTATTAGTCACGCGTACCCCTTATACGTTAGAATACATCTCGTTGTCCTCTCCTGTAACGTTATATTGATCCAAACGAAGCGCGTGCTCTCTCTCTCTTTTATTCTCCTACCTGTAGATTTGCCCGGATGTTTGCGTCACTGGCAGGGGTTCAAATATACAGCCGTTATCATCGCTAGTAATTTAGGAAAACAAGCGTTATGTTCTGTGAGGAGTTTATTGGTTGGCCTCTGTTCATTGCTAGTTTTTTGCTCGAGTGACTCGTAGACTATGAACTTGGAGGTGAGATCTGTCTCTGAGACTCTTAAAGGACTTTTAATCAACTAGGCAAATTCACAATTTCGGGTTACCACTGCTTATAGTCACAGCTCTGAGAGAACCTGAAATTTAACAAATCTATGTCAGTTGACATAATTTAATTGAAGTTATGTGTGTATGTTTGCCTAAGAGAATGCATGTGAGTTTATAAGGGAAGCAGTTGCAATAGATATCCTAGTTGCACAGCACAACAAGGTAATATTGACCCGTCTAAATATGCATTGTGTAGTTAGACCCGTTGCTGTTCAGAGACCTCGAAGCGGAAAACCAGTGCAGCGTGCAGCACTTGCCATGCAATTGACGGGTAAACAAACACCCGTTTCCAAGTATTGGTCGCCAGACACGTTTCCTCGGAAACGATATCCAGTCTGTTGCTAGAGAACCGCCCATGGTAATCATAGTAGGATTGTTTGAGGCGGTGTTTTCTGTCGGGTCCGCCCCGTGTATTATAACGAGGACAGCAGCCGAGTTAGTTGTGACCGAAGCGAAGAACAAAGATGCAAATATCTTCGCCATTCTTCAAACAGATGTCCGATTTCCTGCGAAAACACGGACAACGTCCCACCTATAATATCCTGGGGACACTAATTTTTGTATGTCAGTAATCTGCAAAATATATTTCTGAGTTGGGTGTACAAGTGGTTATTAAATCCAATATCAATGCCATACCCCTTCTATAGGCACAAACCCATAAATCATGACAGGTTGTCTCAAATATTAAAAAGGAATATGAGGTCATGGAAGTTACCTCTTGCAAACGAAGAATAAGGGGTCGCGTTCAATAATATTGACTTGAAATTCTGATATTCTGAACTTTGTACTTTGCAATAAATATGCATTACGTAGAAAAATAAACCGTAGAAGAATAAACCTGAAAATTATTTCATGTGTTCTACTGTGGATAGTATAGACCGTCATTGTGATGTATGTACCCGTATTTAAATGTATGAGGTAAAGGAAAAGTTGAACGCTATTTCAGTGCAAGTTTGGAGAAAATGATCACATTATATGTTCTGTTTGATGTTCATATACTAGAGTCTGTGAATATGCTGTGAAGTGGCATAGCCTGCTGAAAATCAACCGACGTTTCGGACCGATATATCGCCTCGATCTTCATGGTTTAAGAAAAACCTAATCAAGAAACCAACATGAAACAGACAGCAAGCACACCCTACTTAATGCCAGCTTGATGCTGATTTGCTGAAAGAACGTAACGTTACATTTAAGGTATCTCGTCCGTGAAGACGGGTATAAAGTTTTTGACTGACATCGGCATGTGTATGTGTTGTGCCCTGAAGGCCGACTCCCGGTAGTATGTTAAAAGAGTATTTAACTTTTTATATTTTTAGGGGAAAATATTGGTTGGAATAGAATTATTCTTGGGAATTTCTTGTAAGATGTACGAAAGAGGATGTAAGAATGGTTAAGAAACTTCAAGGAATTTCTGCGTATGGAGTTAGACGGCCGTTAGACTTTGACGCGTCGATGTCTTGTCAGCAGAATGACGCTGGGTGAATACCGAACTGCTAACTCCACAGAATTTACACTTAAGTGAAGGGAGGGACGTTTGCAGGTAAACGTGTTAGCCAAATGAGCTAGCAGTAGAAGGGGCGTGTCCACCCTAAGGATCCCAGCCAGCCACTTGGGACAAAACGTCATTATAGGCGGACTTACACCCTCCGGGAAAGTAATGAGTTAGCATGAATAAAGGTATATAACCCGGAGAGCAAATTATTAGGGGGGATTATTGAAACAGTAAATTTGGCTCATTTGCGGCCGAAGGGGCACCTACTAGACACCAGGCAACGCCATCCGTCTGCAGACTCAACCCAAAGTAAGTGGAACTACTCTTATCGCCCTGCTTAATGATTGTGATATTATTAAAGTGAAACTCCTCCGATGGGACACGAGTTAGGAACAATAGAAGTGTACAGGGCGTAAGAGTGATCCAACGGAGTGATGCAGAGGTAGCCAGGTGTAATGTAGAGACAGCAGAGGGTGTGTCTAGATGCAGGGAAGTGTATATATATATATACAGGGTGTCCCAGGAGGAATGGACCAAACTTCGGGAGGGTGTTCCTTATGTTAAAGTATGCCGATATAACCCAAAACACCTATGTCCAAAG